TTCCTTCCGTCCTGGCTTCGTACCTTCCTTCCTTCCTTCCTTGCCTTTCTTTGTTTCTTTTCTTTATTTTTTTATTGATGCATTTTTATTTTTTTTCTTGACGCATTTATATGTTTTTATTGATGCGTTTATATTTCTTTATTGATGCATTTATATTTCTTTTTTGATGCGTCTCCCAAGTCCACCCCCTTGAATGTACTTTTATGTGCCCCGGTGATGTTGGCATTGTTTGGTTAAACAGAGTTGACTGGACTTATACAGTGGCCCTCTATACAGTGGCGGGGTCGAGCTTAGAAGATTGTGCATCTAACAACACGCTGGACAAGTCATGTTGCCAAACAGCTGTGTTGGGGTTTCATGCCTCTGCGCTGCCCAATTAGTGTTGCAATCAGCTGAACGCAAACTTGAATAGCCGGAGCCAGGGAAGTAAACTGCTGTGACTTAAGCCGTCCGAAATTCATTTATAGTATATAGTATGTATATATATATAGTATGAAAAAAAACAGCCATGTCCCATCATGTCCCCATTGTACCAAGCGACGCCCCAGTCGGATTCTGCATGCGTAGGAAGTGAGGGCATGCAAAATACTGTGAGCCAACCACCCCGAGCCACGAGCTCGTTTGACATTGGACGCTTCCACAGGACCTGAGTGTGGCTGAGAGCTGGTGACATCTTGGAACAAGTACGAGAAAAAAATCCATGGCCCTAAGGTCGAAACCCTCATCTTGTTCAGCCTCATCATTCTGAGCACCTGGAAATGGTCGTTGAAATATGTGGCATCCTCGAATGTGGCATGTTCGAATGCTGGTGCCAACGGTTCGAGTGGGGCGTCACTCACACTGTCCGTCAAACATGTTATCTCCAGCTGTCTGGGCTGACGTGGGTCCAAAAATTCAAGGGCCGGATCATGCTTGTGAGAGCAAATGAGAATTAACACAGCACAATCTGAAAATAATGCAAGTGAGATTTGGGATGATTTGGGTGATTTTGTTGACATATGTTGACTAGTATGTCCAAA